TGGGGCGGGGCGCAGGTGTGTCCAGCCAGCTCGGGGCAGCTGCAGCAAGCAGCAGGCAGGCTGCAAACAGCTGCGCTGGGCTCCACAGCTCTGGCATCAGCTCTGTGCTCTGTGCTGATGGCGACTGCATGGGCACCTTGGGGCAGGCTGCGCTGCCCTGCTGTCTTCCCCGAGGTGCCTGTGCAGTCACCGCCAGCACAGAGCAGATGCCGGAGCTGTGGAGCCCGGTGCAGCTGTTTGCAGCCGGCAGCAGGTAGGCTGCAAATGGCTGCACCGGGCTCCGGAAGCCTGCCTTCAGCTCTGTGCCAGGAGCGGGGAGAGACCGGGGCTGCGCTGCCTCTGGCCCCTCCCCCACACCTGCATGCACCAGTGCAGAGCTGATGCCCAGCACAGCTGTTTGGAGCCTCATGGCTGCAGCCGGTCCCAGCTCTAGGTAGCTGCTGCCAGCCGGGAACCCAGGCTGCTCCCAGCAGGCAGCTGAGAGGCTGCAAGCCCTGCTCAGAGCCACCCAGGCTCCATTGCTGGCAGCAACTACCAAGAGCCAGGGCTGGCTGTGGTGTGCCAAGCAAAATGGCCTCGTGTGCCATGCTTGGCACGTGTGCTGGTGGTTACCAACCACCAACCCCTGCTCTAGGCCTTGCTTGAAGCCAGCTAGAAAACTCGGACAAAATTTTCAAAGCATCTAAGATGGGACTTGCTGAGTAAGCTTGGTATGCCTATAATGCAAGGGGAAAAATCTACACTAGACCTCTTTATTTACTCTGTTGTGTGTATTTGTCTGTCTGCTTTATCTATATCAGGGTGACCAACCTGCAACCTGTGCACCACAGATGATATGGGCAGCTTGTGTGGCACACAGCAGACTGGGAAGGGGTCAGGCAGCACAGCAGTAGATAGGGTAGGAAAGCAGAGCAGTAATCAGGCAGGCAGCACAGGGCAGAGAGCAGAAAGCAGAGAAGCCAGTTGGGCAGGGAAGGGGCTCAGAGTTGCACTTGGGGAGGGTGCAGGGTTAATTTGTGGCATGTCTGCCAAAAAAGGTGGCCACTCTATAACAACTAGTAAATGTTTGCTACAATATTGCTGACTTTTCTGTTTTTTGCACACAGGAATGGAACAGGTACATGTTTCACTGACTTATACCTATGTAGCAATTAAGTTAGAATATCAGTTTAGTTCATGTTCTGAAACAGTTAAGAAAATAACTTTCCTTCCTCTCAGAGTGTGAGAGGAAATTAGTCAGGAAGCTAAAGTACACTTTGTACACTTCCTTATTGTTGGGTTACCCCTAGAAATATGAGTTCCAAAAAAACCTTTGGTAAACAGGAGTGTACGGAAGAGGTGTGTGATAAATGTTTTGTTCAGTGCAGTAAGAATCCTGATCACATGAGAATTTCCCTGGAAGCCTGCTTTTCATACTTCGCAGATGAATGTCCGTAATTAAAAAGCAAACACATTAGTACAGGAAAGTTTTGGAAATATTTGGCATCTTGTGTACTTTGAGTCTTGTGTACACACACACAATTTAGTTTATGAAGTGTTTGAGGCTGCAGTGTTTTGTTTTTTTCAGTTGTCAGAAGGTAGAAAGGTAGTTGGTCACAGAAATATGAAAGACCTGGATCTTGGGAGATCTTATTTTCCAGTCACTGGCATTGATCTGTAGGGCAAACCTTGGGTAAGCTCTCATGCTTCACTGTTTCCCTGTGTATGAATTGGGGATAATGATACTGAGCAGCATTCCCTCTAAGCTGCACGGCATGCGTGGCCACGCAGGTGCACTCATGCCGCGCTGCCAGGCACGCCTGCACGGCCACACACACCACACAGCTTAGAGGCAGCGCTGATACTAAGCTCCTTTTACAGCGTTTTGAGATTTATAGATAAAAAGCCCTAGATAAAAAGTAGCTGGTGATAGGAAAGAATCTGAAGAGTTCTAATGCATGGTACTGTACTCTTAAACTCTCTCCACCACGTGCATTTTAAGCATTACTGTTATGCTATAATGTCAGCCCATCAACCACTTGCTAATTCTCCAGAAATAACAGTCACCAGTGTTACTAGTGAAAGCTCAAAAGAAGCCATATGAGTGGAAATGGAGAGAATCTGTGCTATGCTCTCTTATCATTCAGGTTGCCTGAGTTTTCTCTGTGCTTGAGAACAAACATATAAAGATCTAAAGTATATATTATATGGGGGCAGACAGAAGATTTTAAATATGGTAACTTTCTTGATTTTCAAGGGTCCTGTAGAATTTACAGCAAGAACAATTTTAGGAAGAAAATAATTAACTTCTCAGTGGTTGGAATATAAAGGTATACGATGAGTTTGGAGGCAACTGGATAGTTTAAGAATGGGAACAGAAACCTCTTGCCCCTAGATCACGTACCCAGAGCAAGCCTGGGTTGGTCACAACTGAAAGCTGCTGCCTTTTGATGGTTTAGTCTCTGCAAATGAGTTCTTCTCTTCCTGGTAGACTGGTATTTGCCTGACATACAACCAACTCAATTGACGCCCTGTCTGCAGTTTAAACAGAGGAACCAAGGATTGGGAACTCAGTGAACAAAACACTTCAGCTTGTGCTTTTCTTATATTTAAGAAAAACTAAGTACAAACACATACTTTGAAATTAAACACATATTTAAGTGCCCTGAATCAGAGTCTGAAAAAAAAAAAAAAAACTAAACAAGTTGAGCTACTCTCCTGGTATATGGTGATTTGTCTTCCTGGAACCCATCTCTTTGCTGTCTACAAGCTATTACTTGTTGCTCCCAAGGTGCTCTGTTTCCTGCCATTAGAGCACTCCAGTCCCCAGAGCTGTCTGTCAGCCATGTTTTCCAGATATTAAGCTCATTTTTTTTTAATTATCTAGTCTGAGCCTGTTCACCTTAGCGATTTAAAAAAAAAAAAGCGTCCCTGTTCATAGCACCCGTAGGCTTTCTGCTCCGCTCTTTGGAGTACAGTTAGGCTTGGTGACACGCACTCATGCAGCATAAATTACAGTTTTATGTAATGTATGTCAGGTTGAAATTTATACTATAGGCTATATAATTACTTAGACCCAAATGTGCAAATAGAGCATTACTAATTCATACAGCTGACTGGGAGGCCTTGATAGATGATCTAATTTTCAGAGCTAGCAAACATGGCTTACTATATTAGTGCTTGATAAAATAACTTGCTTAAGGTGCTTGATTTAGCTTGACAATTGCAAGTTAGTTTCAGAACTTCGTCTAATAAACTAGCGTTTTTATCATGAAATTGCAGTAATGAGTTTTTATACTACTAACTTCTCTTGGCTGGCAAATGAAGGGGCAGACTTGTTTTTCATAAAAAATGTGTTTGCAAGTTAGCAAGAGTAAACTGGAAATATATAGGGACGTGGCATTGTACACATGAACACCAGTTTAATTGTTTTTGACCAAATGACATTAATTGGGTTAATATAAGACTGCAGAGCATGGCATGCTATGGAACTAGATAATTAAAAAGTGGATGTAGTGCATGCAAGTGCCTAACAGAGTGTTTCAGAGACAGGAATAGATCTGGAGGGGGTGCAGTGGCATGCATGCACCCCCCTTTCAGTCAATGACTACAGAGGGGAAGCACCCAGGGACTTTTTTACAGTTCCCAAAGCAAATAAGAATTTCCCCTCTTCCCTCCCCTCCATGCTCAGCAGCATATCGCCTCTCCTCTTCCTTCCCTCACCCTTCCTGGCTGCCCAGGGAAGCCAGGGGGCTCCCTCCTGCATGCTCCAGCTGTGCTCCACATGGAGCTGGGCTCAGTGGCAGCAGCAGGAAGGACCCTCTACCCTGCCCCGTCTTCCAGTGTTCCCTGCTAGTAAATTCTCCTTATCCTTTTTAAGGGCCATCCACAGGCAAATTCAGCGGCTTTTGTTCACTGAGATATTGTAGTTTAAATTTGATGTTAAGTCATGGAATGCCAGTGGAAATAATGTACAGCAGTAAAGCTGCTTTTAATCAACAATCACTTTTTTTTTTTAAATCAGTGATCACTTTTTTTAATCAATATGTAGTTTCCATTATACATGGCAATGCAGAATATATTTAAAATATATATTTTTACATTTGATTAACATAATAAGTCCCATTACATATCCAAGAATCTTCTAAGCATATTGTAAAACTGACCCAGGATTTTAGTGGTCAGAGAAAGGGAGGAAAGCAATGCAAGTCTGGATTCCCTTTTTCCTGCAGAATTATTTTCTTTTCCCCCTTAACCACAACTCCCCTCTCCCTCCATTTCCATGTCACCAACTTGTATACATTCCATCTCAGTTTTTTGGCTCATTCGTCCTTAGAATACATTGGTAAAAGCCTTACTATAGACAGTTTCAGCCTGTTTTACGCACTACGTTTCAAGACTGTCTTTACTGAACTCCCTTGATGCCATAGTCAGTCTTGTTGCTAATATTCCTACCTGATGAGAAAATGAGCAACCATAAAGTGCCTGAAGAAAGCATGATAGATTGTGAGATGATATGGAATAACATTTTCTCAGTAGTAAACATTTTTGGCAGCTTTTATGATGTCCTTTTGATATCCTTAGGATGAGAAATGAAGGCTAGTCTTCAGTTAAAATGGTAAGAGAATTTAGAGAACCAGAGAAAAATTGAAATTGGTTAGAGTACTTGGAAAAATGCCAACACTTCCCTTTCAGCTGTATGGTGAGACTACCTATAGTCTCTTGAAACAGTGTTAATGAACCACCTCATCAATCTTCAATTTTATGTATTGACAGTATTTACCATAATTAAGTTCAGTTACCAACTGTTCAGGGTTTGACTTTGCTGTGTTGAAGAATTAAGTGCTAGACAGTAGAGGAATGGTATTAACCTCCTCTGTGTGTGTTACTACACACCCCATACATAAAGCAAGTAAATGTTCTGCGAACAGGTGATTCTGTTTACTCTGTTAATTTGTACGGGTATCTTGTCAGCAGCACAAATGTATACATAAGAATTTTGATTTAAAGTTTTGTATTGTATCAAAACACTTTAATTTCTTTTCATGTATAGGGACATAAAGCCTGACAATGTTCTTTTGGACATGAATGGTCATATACGGCTGGCAGACTTTGGATCCTGTTTGAAGATGAGTGAAGATGGCACTGTATGTAAAACATATCTGAGCTGGGTATTACTTAGTGCGTTTTAGATGTATATGAGAGAGTTCTTAAACCTTATAATAGAGCGGTAAAGGGATATCTTCAAAATGTATACATTTTAATATGAATTTAGAATGTATTTTATATTTTAAAGATTGCTTTTAAAGTATATGTACTGTACATTAGATGTACTCAGCTATCCTTTGTTCTGTCCCTCTATTACCATTTATAAGAAATTGAATACCTGTGGACTATTTGAAAAAGACAGTTATGGACATTTGTGATTCTGGCCAATGAATCTGATGATAAGCTTTAGGGATTCCATATTGATTGGCTTCTTGCATAATTTTCTATGTTGACTAAACTGGGAGAGCAGAGAAAAAGGATTCAAGAGGTGTCCCCTGCTGATACAGTCAAAAGATTTGGAGGCTCCCCAGCTGTGAGTTGGTCTGTTTTAATGGCCAAGGTTGTCACCAACTTGAAACAGCAATCCAGATGGAGCCATGGGTGTTAATCAGGCTGGGCACCATCTAGAAGTTGAACTACACAGATCCCCAGCAATCCTGTAGCTCAGAACTAATAACTCTGGACCTGTCAGAGCTGTTTTACACCAAGTCAGAACCCAGGTGTCTTCTATTCGGCCCCTCTGTTGCTTCAACCCATGGTAATCTGTGTGAGAACCTCTAAGCAAAGGAAACCATTAGGGTATTGCAGTTGGCAGTCTTGTACACTGAAAACTGAGTATCACTATTACAAATGCTATATAATTCCCCTCTGTCATTTAGCACAAGTTCTGTGGTGTATTATGTACCCTATGGATTACTCATGCCAAAATAATTCAAATTATCCATTGACAAAATTTGTATTTTGTATTTTTAAGGTACAGTCTTCAGTGGCAGTGGGTACACCTGACTACATCTCCCCAGAGATACTGCAAGCGATGGAGGATGGGATGGGCAAATATGGACCAGAATGTGACTGGTGGTCTTTAGGTGTCTGCATGTATGAAATGCTGTATGGAGAAACTCCCTTTTATGCTGAATCCTTAGTGGAAACCTATGGGAAGATTATGAATCATGAAGTAAGTAATACAATCAAGACATACGTAGTCAATAAAATTGTATTATTTTTGCAGACACAAGTACCCACCAAAGACAACAGGGTTTTTGAGTGACACCAATTTTGTTATTCCATAAAATGTTTCTGATTAAAAAATTAACATTAAATTTTGTAGATGATATTAGTTTTTGTCTTTAAGAATTGATTAATTTTTCTGCATTTGTGGAAATGGAAAAACATGGCTTTCCATGTTTGAGAATAGAAAGAGAATGAACTTTTTGTTCCATGACCAAAGGCAATCACCTTGTTTGTAGGGCACACTATAAAAAGTTTCCGCCATGCTTTGTAAGAACAGTTAAGCAAGATGTTATTTACACAGCTGTACATAGATAATCAGGGCAAATAAGGAAGTAAGAGAAACAAGCAGTGTTCACTCGAGTTTCATTAGGGATATGATTTTTGGCCAGTGTAAAAATGCAGAATTGATAGGGAATTTTTTATTTGTGAGCTAGTTGCATTTTAAGCAGCAGTGTGAGGCTAAACTTTCTGCTGATGTCCGTTTGAAGACGGTATGTAGAAGATGATGCATCTTGGGTAGATATATATAAGGTAATCTGTAAGTTCCAAGCTGGCACAGTTAGCATGGTTTTAATAACAATACTCTCTCAGAGTTAGATGGCATAAGGACACTCATGACTTACATGTTCTAGAGCATAAATATGCTGTCTTCATAACTGAGGCAAAAAGAATAGATATTATCCTTGATGGATATAGCCAATGAGTGTACTTTAATTTGTTTTTAAAACATAACTGTTGAGCATATTTTTTTTGGAAGGTGCCATATCCTGACTGACTTGAGGGAGTCATCTGATTTGTTTTGTTTTAGATTTTTGTCATGTCCACACCATAAGCTGCCTTTGTAGTTTCACTTGTCTTGTTGCTTTTGATGATACATTTATCAACAAAACAAATAAGACTGTTTTATTTTCAAATGGAAATCTCAGCTTGAAATCTGTTTGGTTAAGTCCAACTGAGTCTTGTATTCCTCTGATAGCTTTAGTTCTACAATATCACCTTCTGATTTGGGGCAAAAGGATGACTGTACATAGAACAATAAGCTCACCTGTTTGCAAAGGAGTTTCAAGTACATAAATATAGCCAAAGATAGAAAAATACTTTCCTTCATGTTTAGTAACTTCACATGTTAATTGTAAGTAGTTAGCTTGTATTGCATGAGGTTGTCGCCTATGATAGCATATTTTAATCTGCCTAATGCAGCTGATTACAGTAGTGAAAAAAACATTACTTGAAGACCTAGCATGCATTTTATACTGATGTCAAAGAAACTAAAATATTTCTTGACAGAAGTACTTCTGAATTATATGACCTACTGTTTAAGTACTTTTGTTAATGTATTTCAGAACCAAAAATATCTTCGGTAAGATTTTTTTGGCAAATAATATACAAAGCAAATAAAGCTTGACTTAAAGATCTCAATGCTGAACTTTGGCTTTTGAGTAACTTCACTTTCCTACCCATCTCAATAGCAAAAATTATCTAAGTGAAGCCAGTTTAAATTAAAATCTGAAATATCTGAATCCGTATTAATACCTTCAAAGAATTTAATTATTAGCATATCACATTTCAAAGTGAAACTCTTTCTTTTTGAAAAAATATTGCTGTTATGAAGTCACCTGTTATCTGCATATAAGATGCCTTAAACTTTGTAGAACCATAAAATATTGCGTGATGCACAGTATGGGATATTGTGGAGGAGGGTCATTGAAGGTTTGTTTTGTTGGTTTTTTTTAATGGGGGGGTCATAATTTAAATATCACAAAATGGAAAATGTTTATGCAGTTGGAGTAAGTTAGACAGATACAGTACTAGGAACTTGATCTCTCCACTGACCTGAAGACTAAGCATGTTTTTGCATCCAGTAGAAACATAAAGGGGCTGATCCTCAACCAATTAATGCATCTAATGATAGGATTCTGGTCTCAACTCCTTATATCCTGCTGATGTATGCCATACAGAATCAAAAAAACCTTTTTTTTAAGTTTCCTTTCTTTAAAGCTTCAGGTAATATATTAAAACTAATTGATGAAGATATAAAACAGAGGAGAAATAGGTAGTATTTATTATTAGTTAGCTAGCATTTTAAAATCAACAGCCACTCTATTTAAATTGATCCAATCAAATACTTCTGCTGCTCACAAGACTTGAAAGCAATAACTGTGGCTGTTCATTTCTAGTTCAATTTCTCTTATCTAGTACTTTCTTTATTAAATCATGGGTTTTTTTAAATCTTTTTTCTTTACTTAATTTTCTAATATAAAATTCTCAAATTGTTTGTTTTATTTTTCCTAGGAACGATTTCAGTTTCCATCCCATGTTACAGATGTGTCTGAAGAAGCAAAAGACCTTATTCAGCGGCTTATTTGCAGTCGGGAACGTAGACTAGGACAGAATGGAATTGAGGATTTCAAGTCGCATGCATTTTTTGAGGGACTCAATTGGGATAATATCCGGAACCTAGAAGCACCTTATATTCCAGAAGTTAGCAGTCCTTCTGACACATCCAACTTCGATGTAGATGATGATGTGTTAAGGAATCCAGTGAGTTTCTTATTTAAACATTACTTCATTGTTTTGTTTTATACAAGGTAATAGTAATCTGTTAAAAATGAGCAAACTTGTTTCTAGTTTGTTTTTAATAAACTGAGTTGTTAAAATATGACATTTGATTAAGTATGCGAAAAATAAAGCTAGCATATTAAACCTTACTGTTTGATCATATCATATAATGGGTAAAGGAATCCACCCCTGAACACTGAGTCCCTTAAAACTGTTCTGGAGGCCTTGAGTTGATAGTTACAAGTAGAGCTGATCAGAGAAACTTGAGTAAATTCACGTTTTGTTAGACTGTGTTGTTCCGTCTGAGACCATATACAGGCATTCAGTTTCTCCTGAGAGTCTGCTCTCCCAGTAGAAGTCACAAGTGTGCAGACGTTCAGAATTTTTCTCCCACGGCAAAAACGCCTGCTCCAGGAAAAAAAAACCTGGAAGCAACCAGGGACAGTAAAATCACTCCCAGGAGAGTTTCTCCTGGAAGAGAAAATGTCTGTCTGTACACGTTCTCATCTGAAAGTAGCCATGACACACTGCTCCCGGAGTACTTTACTCCCTCTCATCCTTTTCCCTCCCCTTCCCGCCCCCCTCCCCCTAAGAAGATATTGTGTTGTTCACTGGACTCTGCTGCTCCAGCTGAGCAGGGAACAGAACATGCCCCCTTCACAATCCGCATTGTGCTGCAGGGAGATACAGGCTGACTCTGAGCAGTCGGCACCAGCCAGTCAGGGCTGCCCTGTGCACTGCTGCCATTCTGTCTGGAGGCAGACTGAGGAAGTCTGCAGGGCACACTGAGATGTATGCACAGAGGCCCCCTGGCTACACATTGTTAGCACTGGCAGGCTCTCTGCACTTCAGGGGCTCGGCATCTGAATGTCTGTTCAGGCATCTCCATGTAAATTTTTCTACTGAAAGAACAAACAATTTTTTAGAATTTTTCCTGCATGAAAATCTCCATACTTTTTGGTTTGCATGTAAATTTGGATCGAATCTAAACATCAGAACCTTTCACAAAACAATTCCTGTCCTCTATGCAGCTGTAGTCACAGCATCTGAATCTCCTGAAAGCATGTTGCAATGGTCCTTTCGTCTTAAGTTCTGGGGAACTCAGCATAGGAATTCCTTTCTTCCCACATTTTCAGTCTCCTATTAGCTTATAAGAATGAATTTCTTAGGAAGAGCAGAGGGAAGTACATGGCATGTACCTGAGCTTGTCTTGGCAAAGTATGCAGTGATTAAATTGAGAGTTCTGGATTTGTGTTTTAATTGGTTGCCTATTACAACACCTAGGATGGAAGCACTATTACAGTCATTCGGTTTAGTGTCCCATTGCTTTTAATGATAAAAGTCAAAAAAAGCATTTGTCTGTTGTTTTCTTGGTTTTCAAACATGTTCTTTTTTATGCAGGAAGTGGTGCCACCAACTTCTCATACTGGGTTCTCTGGATTACATTTACCCTTTGTGGGGTTTACATACACAACTGACAGGTAGGCAAAAGGAAGTTCTTTGTTAAATGCATGGCTGAAGTGGGGCTAACTCAAAGTTTATTTTTTCACATGCACTCTAAAAGCCCACCTGGCTGTGGAGAAATAGCTGTTCTTAAAGTATATTTAAACTTTTGGGTTTTTTAACTTACAGGTATTAAGTGCTTACATTTAGTTTCTTTCCATGTACTTGAAATAAACTAAGACAGTGGCACATTTTTCATTTTGGGGTACTTGTATAGTTGTACAAATATATGTAGCAATAGTATATACCAGCTACAGAGATGGCAAAAGAATACAAGAATATAGTGCGTACCGAGAAACAAATGAAATAATATTTTTATAGGTACTGTCACATTTGATAATAACTTATTTCACTATTCTTTTTAAAAAAAACACAATTTACTGCCCATACATGTTAACCAGCAGATTAATTTATTGCTTGGTAAAATCCAATTCAGTTTCAAATGAACACGGAAAACACTTTTTATGAAGTATTTTTGGCTTGATAGCCTTTTAAAAGTGTGAAGCTAAAAAAGAGGAACATGAATATTGTTTTGTAGTTATTAGCTGTATTTTCATTAAAGAAAACCAAAGGGATATTTGCGGATGAGTGGAAAGTATTTAGATCACTTCAAGCTTCTGTTTTACATAGCTTGTTCTGATCATATTAAAATCTGTGTAAGAGCTCGTGATGTACAGTTGTAAATGGGTAGTAATTCTGTCCTAATAGAGTTTTTCTGAAGTACAGTTGTAAATGGGTAGTAATTCTGTCCTGGTAGAGTTTTTCTGACCAGCCACAAGCTTGTTGGCATTTCTTGTTTGTTGCATCTTAGCAGTAGATATTTTGAAGCATTTTAGTGCTAAGAATGATAAGCTGCGATTGGGTTAACTTTTCAAAAGTAGCTAGATCACTTAAACAATTTGAATTAGGCTCTTTTCAACATGATGCAGGCTCCCAACTACAAGGTGACTTGTCTACTTTTTCATAACCTTGGTAGTTACGCTGAGATAATAAGCATTGCTCAGTCATTTCAGATGTAGAATTCAACAAAAAAATACAAGGAACTGCTACAGGTTGTGCCAAGTACTCACTGAAAATAACTTATGTTTTGTTTGCAGCTGTTTATCTGACAGAGGCTCATTAAGAAGTGTAATGCAGTCCAGTGCGGTAACCAAAGATAAAGATGTGCAACGCGACTTAGAGAGCAGCTCGCAAATAGAAGCTTATGAAAAGAGGATACGAAAACTGGAGCAAGAGAAACAGGATTTGAACAGAAAACTGCAAGGTTGGTTACATAAAGTAGCTGGGATGTATGGTTCAAGTTATGAGGAAGCAGCAGAATGCATGTAGTTTGCCTGATGGGTTTTTTTTCTTCCTCAACTTAAGAATCTACACAAACTGTGCAGTCCCTTCATACTCCAGCTCGTGTTACAGTACATGCAAACTGTGATAAAGAAATCAAAAAGTTAAATGAAGAAATTGAGCGCTTGAAGAACAAAATAGCAGGTAAGTACTTGCCAGCCAGGCCAAACGTTCTGGCTTGAATCATACAAGTAATTAGTCTTAGTAGCCAGAATGCTGGGTTTATCAATATGCATTTTATTCAGAGCAAGTAGGAAAAAAGTCTTTATGAACCCCTAAGCAAAGAAGAAATATTTTATGGCTTGCTTACTGTTAAGCAGCATTTTAGTGTTTTGAATAATTGCTTATCTTTCCCCTTAACTTCCTTAGCCTGATGGTAAATATTCCCCTGGGGAGTCAAGAATACAAAAATTGGCTAAATACATTCAATAGGACATTTTCTGACTATATCCTTTCCATAAAAACCCTAGGACAGCCTCTTCTCTTGATCTTGCTTCTCTTAGTACTTGTTTTTTTCTGGCCATAGTTACAGCTGAGGGAAACATTGAAAATAATTGATTTGATACTTCATCATAAATGTGAAGTAACTCTCTACAATTTCATTGAGCTGTGTCAAAGAAAGGAATGCAATTATTCCAGTCTTGCCTGAAAAGTAAGACTGCAGTTTGACCACCATGTTTGCATTTGTACATGTAAACACCTTCCAGAAAACATGAAATCAGATTTTAAAAACCCTAAGAGGGTATGAGCAGCTTTTCACTGAGTAGTAGGTAAACTTTCTACCTTGTAGTATTAAGAACACTTTATTATGCAGAGCTTCACACACCACCTTTTACTATAGGTGAAAGAAAGCCACAGGTGCAAATTTGTTTTTGTGTATCACTTGCAAATAACAACAGACATCAACCTGTCATCATCCTCTTTGCATAAGCCTCAACTCTTTCTTTCTTTTTTTTTTCCTCCTTCAGGCACTGGGGATTTGTGTCCTTGTTAATTTAGCACACAATCAATTAGCATAAATTTTCTATTCTCTTGATTTTCCTTCATGTAAAGCAAGTAATTCATGGAGATGTCCTTATCATAGTCAGAACTAAGCCTTCCTCTTGTTCCACAACATTGAAGTAAAATATCTATGACCATCTCTAAATGTTGTTCTTTCAGAACTTGCTTTACCCGTCTAGTTGGCACATGGTACCCTGTGTGTACATGGCTGTGAAGTATGAGGGTCTTTTACTTAGCAGAATTTTTGTGCAGCTCTCCCCCAAAGAGGTTTAGTGTAGCTTACAGCAAATACCAGATACATTATAAGGACAGATAAGTATTAATATGAAGGAATATGTAAGAGGACAGATTCCCCAGACAGTGCCCCAAAAATTAATTCTGCCTGCTAATGGCCTACCCAAATAATGTCTTGAAAGGAATGATGGTGTAGTGGGTGTGGCACAAACCCAGAAAAAAAGGAATTGGATTGAAATGATGACTGCTTAGTTTGAAGTTTGATTTTTTTTATTTGAAAGTGCATGCAAACATTAGAATGTGGATGATGAAAGCAGTGGCCTGACCTGTGGAAAATAAAGGTGAAATCCCTGTTCTGTGTTGTAGATTAGAGTCTTTCAATCCCAGATCACTTTGATCCCCCTGAATCAGACAGGCTGGGACTTGAACCTACATTTTCCATATCTCAGGCTAGTGCCATCAGAGCCAAGACGCGATGAGAACTCCTTTGGGCCCCCAGCTTCAGATCTTCTATGAAACATTTCAGCTCTGACCAAATATAGTTTGACAAAAAAAAAGGAAAATTATTTTCTCACTCTTGCTGAAATAAGCCTCTATCTTGCATTGGAGGGCTTATGTATTCAAACTTGTGCTGCTCAGGTGCTATGGTTAAAAGATTTACAATGGGATGATCAAGTAGCATTGCTACCCATGCTGTTGGTGCAAATTTGGGAGCAATCAAACTTTAGTTTGAATTTCTGTACAGATTCCAGTAAGCTAGAACGGCAGCTTGCAGATGCAGTGGCACTTCGCCAAGAACATGAAGACTCCATACACAGAGTAAAAGGACTTGAAAAGCAGTGCAGAATACAAAGACAGGAGAAGGAGGACCTTCATAAGGTAATGGTCCTAAGTGTATACCTTTCACCCTGGTTACTTAAAATGACTCAGGAATGGAACTATCTAGAAAAGAGCATGACATTAATGTTTGAAACCACTACTTTCTTCATTCTCTTCAGTATGTTGGTACATTAATGCATCCATTCATTTGATAAATAATAGAGTGGCAGGGTGGATACTAGCTCCAAGCCGATGTGTATTCTGTATTGTCCATTGGTTGGCATTCAGGTAATTAAGAAAAACCTCTGCTCTTTGTTAGTATAAAACACATTAGTCCATTCTTCTTTTTTTGGTGCGTTCATAGCCTCTTTTGATGACAGTAAGTTAGAAACCTATGTAATGAGAGACCAGTGTGCCCTGGCCAATAGTGTAATTACAAAGCTAATGCAGACTACTTTTCCGGAAATATGGAAATTATGGGCGGGTGCAGAACACTTCCTAAAGCAGATCGTTTCACTGTTTTACAAATCTGTGACTGGTAAGTGAATTCCAAACGTAATAAAATGTATATATACAAAACATTTAATCCAATTAACTGAGCTTAATAACCATTCATTACTGAACCTCCTTATTTTTTGTAACAAATTTCCCTTTTTTGATAAAGGAACAATAGAATAAGCATTCTTAAAGTGTTTTAAATAGTTGACTAGACTTAACATACAATATTAAGTATATTATATCCCTATAATTGAAAACTTCCAAATTTTTTAAATGAAGCTGAATGTCTTAATATTTATACTTAACCCATAAATAGTCAAGCTTTTGTTATCTTAAACTTAAGCGCTTCACAAAATTACTGAAGTGACTTTGTATTTTCACAGACATGTCAAAAATCAATATGTTGTCAGATGACTAATATTGAGCATCGTCAAGGTTGTGTAGCTGTATTTGTTCATCAGAAATGATCTACAGGCCAGCATGCCTAAAGTTTCTACTATATAAAATGAGTTTTTGGCCTCACAGGTGGTTTCTCGTAAACAAGTTCTCTCTGAACCATTGTTAAAGCTTATTTGCTGAAGGATGCGAGTAGCAGATTTAAGCAGCTTTGCTACTCTTGACTTCAGTATCTGCTTTGTAGGTTAGTGAGTGCACTGTAATTCAGTAAACATGGCAGAAGTGTATAGTTCAAATTAGCCAAGTTGCATATGATTTTTTTCCATAATTTGTATATTTATATTGTATGAGAGAGATGGGATAAATAAGCTGAGCCCAGAGGATTACTATATGTAAAACAGTATGGTGTTTAATTCTGAGATTTGATTTTCTTTAGTTTCTTTTCATTGAAATCTGACTGCAACTAGGACCAGCAGTTTGTATACCTGCTATTTGGAAGTTTACATAATGTGGTTGAACTTTTAAGTCAGTTTATCCTGTTCCCTTTTTCTTTGGAGAGGCAAAATGCAGTTTTTAATACTTTTTTCCTCCTTTTACCAGCAACTTGTGGAAGCTTCAGAAAGATTAAAGGCACAATCAAAAGAGTTGAAGGATGCTCATCAGCAAAGAAAGCTAGCCATGCAGGAGTTCTCAGAGCTCAATGAAAGGATGGTAGACTTGCGCTCTCAGAAACAGAAGGTCTCCCGACAGCTTCGTGATAAAGAGGAAGAGGTGGAAGTGATCATGCAGAAAATTGATTCTATGCGACAGGAAATTCGTAAATCTGAGAAAGCCAGAAAAGAGGTAGTTCGGCAAAATAGTTAATAGCATGTTTCAGCCACTGCTTACTCTTGAGTTGCATCATGTTTATTAATAAAATAGAAAAGCCAGGAGCATTAACTATAATCTGGATCTATGTGAGGCTGTATAAATTGGGCTGGCACCTCTTGCCCATTATCATATTTCAGTTTGCATAATAGATGTTAAGCACATCTCTAAATGTTAGGAATTTATCAAGGAGTGAGATATCTTCTCTTTTTAGAAGTTCTAATTACTTGTAATCCAGTAAAAAATATTCTTGCTATACACTCAGTTGATCAACTGTTTTGTTAATTTAGATGTAGAGATACAATTGCACTGAAATCCTAATACATATCAAAGGCGAGAGCAGTTTGGGCTTCCAGTACCCCTGCTAATTTCCTTCCGTGTAAATACTTTCTTCTTTCTGTTGCTGTCAGGAGAGGTGGTTTGGACAGGCAACAAACAAGCAAGCAAACTAGAGTTTATTTTTCTTATCCTTTTTAGCTGGCCATTTTTTTAAGGTATTTATAGTGGCTGTAGGTTAAAGAAATACTGTATTTTTATCCTTTGATACTACATCACCACCATTTTATTCATTGGTTATTGAAGTAGTGTCTGGAATCCATAATCATGGGTTAGGAGCCCATTGCACCAGGATACGTACAAATGGAGAATAAAATGAAAGAAATGGAGAATGTCCCAAGGAGAGATTACAGAAAAGGAGGGGCCATACAAGGAAACAGCTGAAACACTATTGGTCACTCTCTTCATAGTGAGGGTGGCAGTCTCACAAAAAGCATGGCAATGCTTGTTTGAAAAGTTAACAAAGGTGCAGTGGGTACTGGCATCCTGGGCCAAGCTGTGGCAGTGCTCAACGTCTCATTAACAAAGGAGAAGCAGAAACGGATTGGTCACGAAGGGCCTTACTATTGTTGTTGACTGCTCTCTCTTTTGCCCTATGCATGTAGAATGTGTCCACATGTTGCTGCTCTTTCATCCATGACACTTTCCTCTAGGCCTTCATAATCTGTGTTGGTGTTTGCAAATTCATCACTCAATACCTTACGCAAGGTAGTAGGGATGAATGGTGGTTCCAAAGACCCAAAAACTGTCTTAGAAGAGAGGAGAAGAAATGATATAGCTATGCCTAGCTTGCCTTTAAAACAACTTCTGATATTTTTTTTTATTTCTAGCTGGAAGCTCAACTTGAAGAAGTTGTAGCAGAAGCATCAAAAGAACGCAAGCTCCGTGAGCACAGTGAGCTCTTCTCCAAGCAGCTGGAAAATGAGCTTGAAACATTAAAGGTTACATTATTTTTAAAATGCAAGACCTGTGATAAATTTGGTTATCCAACCATAAACATTTGTGGCACATTTGCATGTCCTTTCTCTGAGGAGAGTATTTGTATAAAACTTACTAATCTTAAATCTACTCACTTCTATCAAACTATTTTCCCCTAAACAGTATTGTTATGGCTATTAATCTCTTACCTATTGTCTGTTTGCCTTAAATCATAACTATTCTTTCAACGCTAAAAGAATATTGTCATATTTTTCCTGATAATTTATGCTCTTTTGTTTTTGCAGGTGAAGCAAGGAGGCCGGGCAGCAGGAGCTACATTAGAACATCAACAAGAGCTTTCCAAAATGAAGTCGGAGCTTGAGAAGAAAATCTTATTTTATGAAGAGGAGCTAGTCAGGAGAGAGGCATCTCATGTCTTAGAAGTAAAAAACGTGAAAAAGGAAGTGCATGATTCAGAGAGCCATCAGCTAGCTCTTCAGAAAGAGATCATGATGTTAAAAGATAAACTGGAGAAAGCAAAGCGAGAGAGGTGAGGATCTGAATTCAGCCAATTGGCTTAGGAAAGTAGTGTGGTATTTTTTGCATTTCATAGGTAGTCAGTGAGGTGTGGGACACTTAACTCTCCCTTCCACACCCTTGACATTCCTGCCTCAGTGATCCATCAGGTTGTAAATTCTTGCTCTTTTTTTCCTTTTCCTCAGGCACAGTGAGATGGAGGAGGCTGTAGGAACAATAAAAGAGAAATATGACCGGGAAAGAGGCATGCTCTTAGACGATAACAAAAAGCTGACAACTGAAAATGAAAGGGTAATTCCGTTAGTATAGGCATTATTAGAAGCCAAGTATGGGTACTCTTCTTGAAAACTAGTATTCTGTTCTTTCCTTGGATTTCATTTGCTTCTGATTCATTCTTCTGTTGTGATAATTCTCCCTAATGCTCACTGAGCATAGAAAAAACCATAAGCATCCTTTAAAAAGGAGCCTTTTTTGTTTGTTGTTCTGGTCAGATCCATGATAGTTGAACTGGGCAAATCAGTTTTTTTCTTTATTTTTCCACATGTGGAGTTGAGCCCCCCAATGCTGAACTGAGGAATACCATGTATAAAATAGTTCACTGGGGCTACCTGCTTCTCCATCTGACCCTCAGGAAAAAAAATTAGAGGGGAAAGAAAGGGAGAGGCAGGGGGAACCACAAAAGCCACCCATTTTCTTAGCTGCCGAAGATTAAATATGCATCACACACAATGTCCTTGATGCTTTCCTTGTCTCTTTCTGTTCTTTTCACCTGTTCAGTTCCCTAATCAGAAATGGCAACTGAACATGCAGTACCTAGATGTTGCGCTTGTAGAATCTGACAGTGTTTTCCAAATGTTTGGGTGATGTGGCAGAACCTTTTAATAGCCTAGCGTGTTTATGTATATGGAATTTGCACAAACAAAATGAGTCTGAAAATGACACATTTCAGGTGTAAACTGCTCATTTTTCATTTCAGCTTTGTTCCTTTGTGGATAAATTAACAGCACAAAACAGGCAGCTAGAAGATGAGCTCCAAGACCTGGCAGCGAAGAAAGAGTCGGTTGCCCACTGGGAAGCTCAGATTGCAGAAATTATTCAGTGGTATGTGCAAGTCAGAGAGCCAGACAGCATCTTTCAATTTTTGAAATATAGATGGAACTCTCAAGTGCAGCCAAGTCTTCTCTACACTTGCGAGATCAGGGAAAAAATACACATTTGTAATTACCGACGATCTGTTTTGCCCTTTGGTTTCCAGGAGAGCAGATAGTAAGACTGTTTTCATTGAATTGTGATTTTTAGCAAATTAGAGCTAAATTTTAACTTCAAGACAGAGAGGGTTTAGCCCTAGCTACATCAAACTTTATAGTTAGTTATTTTAATAATTAATTTGTGTGTTCTGCTCTGGAATTTGTGGGTGATTTCATTTGAGATAACAGCAAGGATATTCAGAGCTTGGGATATGATGCAGAATCTTTTCAAGGGTTCTGCCTTCCATCTCCTACAGAAAGCTCAGTTCCTCTTAGCCCCAGCACACCACCCCCCCCAACATTTATGTTTCCCAGGAACATTTATATACCCAGACAGCCTCCTCTTCTCAAACAATCTCTAAGGCTGGGACAGAAGTTACACACAAACTGAAATAAGTGATCGGAAACTGGTTCAGATCTGTAACACAACAGAAGTTCAGTCCGTAGAAACTGCTTTCAGAATGGCCAGAACTGGTTTAAGGTGAACCTGGATGGATGTAGTATCAGACTTAATTAATTTAGGTTAAATCAGTTTATTGAATTTCTGTCCCAGATCCCCTCCAGAGTCAAGTTAACTCACGGTTCCCCAGCATCCCAGGATGATTTGAACCTACCTGGAAACCCTCCCCTTGCAGGGTGGGCAGGCTAGCCTTGGCCCAAGCTGTCTGCTCCAGCCCCTGCCCTCCTTGCCGTGCCCCCACCCCCTCTAGTTTTTGGCCTAGGCCATTGTAGGCATGTGGCTGCATATCTGGAATCAAAAGCGAATGTTTGTTCATTTGCTTATCAGTTCAATCTATACAGCTTAGACTAACTTGCAAAAATTGAATTGATTCAGCCTTGGACTTTCTGACTGTCTGTACTTAGCTTAAATAACTAATGCTTTATCGCAGGGGTGGGCAAAGTGCAGCCCACGGGCCAGATGTAGCCCGCCAGGCCATTCTATCCCGCCTGCAGGGCCCCTAAAAAATTTGGAAAATTAATATTTGTCTGCCCCTGGCTGCCTGTCATGCAGCCATTGATGGCTTGCCAAAACTCAGTAAGCGGCCCAAAATAATTGCCTGCCCCTGGTTTATTGAGTTCATATGCCATAGGTAAGTGTTTCCAGAATGCAAAACAGACACACACAGTGCACGTAAACATATTGATTACAGGTGTGCTTACATTCCTCCTTCACCTGAGACTGAACAGTTGAAACCAATGTCTGCAAACTTACAATTCTCAGCCAGAAGTCTCATGTCCCTGGGCTGACTTTGCAAGTCTTTCAGCTACCAAAATGCGTATTTATCTGCCCTTCTAAGCACTGGAGAGGATCTGGAGAAGATCCATAGAAATGAGCTCTTAGCTGTACAAGGAATAAGCAGATCAGGCTCCATACAGTAGTGCTACCACTTGGTGCTGTTCCAGTTGACTGCTAGAGGGAAAGTTGTCAGTTTACTGAAGGTACATGCAGAAACAGGAGAAACAGCTGGAAGGAAGACCCGAAGGAGCCACAAGCAGACAACATCTCAAATCCTGAGCCAGGAACAATTTCAAACCCCAGTTATCTTGTATCCCTAAATAGTATATTGTTGTTCTTTTGATATTGGTAGTTAGCATAGGGATGGACAGCCAACTTACCATGCTATAAAAAGGGGGTTGCTGTGCCATAACTACCTACATGCACACGTTTATCCCACAGTATGTGGAAGCTTAAACCATGATAGCCTGCTGTGAATATGCATAGAGGTGGTTACTGTGGAACAGTTGACATGTGGTAAAGCCCTCTTTTTAGCTTCTGGGAACCTGTTTGCCTTTTCCCAAGGGTTTCATGATATTTGAGCTTGTTTCATCAAAGCTTATATTTTTTCCAACTTCTAAACAAGGTCATGCTTAAGTAACTGCTTTGTAATTGCACACCAGGGTAAGTGATGAGAAGGATGCCCGTGGATACCTTCAGGCATTGGCTTCCAAGATGACAGAAGAACTAGAATCGCTGCGAAGCTCCAGTCTGGGATCAAGAACATTAGTAAGTCAACTGCAAGTGGTTAGAAATTGCTCTAATTCATGAGGTTGAAAATACTTACGCTTTGGCTTCAAATTTTTCCATGTTCATTTATCAAAAAAGAGTATACTGAACTGACAATCTGAGATCTTTATGATAGACAGTGCTTTGCTTCTAATTGTACCATTTTGTGATGCCCATTTTAACAATGCAGTTAGAATGTGGTGAAATCCTTTATTTTGCTTCTTGCCAATATCTGGCATAATTGTAAACTGTGTCTTAAAACCAGACTCAAAAAATCAGTAACAAAAAACACTTAATGTTAACAAAAGAGAATATTTTAATGCACCATCACAGACAGATGTTAAGTGGTTAATAATACCTGGTGGCATTTTTGTAATATCTAGGAGCAGTAGTTATGGACCAAGGCCCACTGTAGTAGGAACTGAACAAATGAAGAGCAAAAAAGACCCTGCCTCAGAAGTGTATTGTGATATATTTAGGCTATAATGAGAGCAAGATGTGTCTGTTGCTGTTGACACATCGGGGTTTATAAAACCCTGTTCAGAGAAGGAGCACCCAATCTTAAGATAACTGCAGCAGTAGTGACAGTCTAGCCTTAAGGTAACTGCAACAGCAAGAGAAGGCAGTTTGAAGAAGGGTGACAACTCTCTTTTTGTCTATTGTCTGCTTTTTTCACATTGGCAATAAACAATACAAGATTGATTGATTGGATAGGTCCAGCAAATTCTGTTTTAATTTATCAATTACAAATTTCAGTCAATATTTAGGAAATCAGTCAACATTTAACAAGTTATAGTCTCTTGGCTACTTGCTGGTGAGCTGTTGACACCAGGATGATAATTTGGTGTTCTCTTCCCTGTTTTCAGCTGTTAAGTTTTATTTAACCAACAAAAAAACATATTGTTCTATTTGCCATTAGAATGCAAGTGGGTGGAGAGACATCCCTAAGATAACATCCCAGTTATAGTCCACATTAGAAAGTCTGAGAATCCTAGGGATCAGGAGACCTCAAATTTTGCTGTCCTAAAGAACACCATTTCTATGGCAGTAAGTGCAGAACTAGTCTGTATTTTAAATTTAGTTCATAATCCAGAGTAAGACAAAAAAAACGTATATACACTTAGGCATGTCCTCTAGAACCCTAGGAGCAGATGCTGCATTTGTCCCTGGATAAACTATGCCTGTGTTTGCCCTTGGACAAAAATATCCTGGGATTGATACATACATGCTAGGGGTGTGCAAAATGGACCATATTTGGTTCAGATTTGGCCCAAATTGGGGACAGTAATTCAATTTGTTGATTCAGATCACTATCCCTGATTCAATTCAGCCGAATCCAAATGTAAAGATTTGATGCTGATTCGGAGAATCAGTGATTTGGCCATAGACACAGCTTTAAATCTTTTTTCTACATAGCTTGAAGTACCAGGCGCAGCTCGTGAAAGCTTGTGATGTTGGGGCAGATGGAGCATCCCACAGGAGCTGATAGTTATTTTTAATCTTAGCTTTTCTGAAAACTGTTACACATTTTAACTGGTGGTCCGTATTCAACTGTATTAATTTAAACTTATGACAGTGAAATGGTTAATATTTGATTCAAGCAAAGATCTTAAGGACAAAATGGGGGAGGTCTTATTTTATCCTCCTTTGGTACTTACAAACAGAATAGAACCAAAATGTTGAGAGTTGATGTTCATGTTCCATAACTTACCCCTGCAGGATCCACTTTGGAAAGTGCGGCGCAGCCAGAAGCTGGATATGTCAGCCAGGCTGGAACTGCAGTCTGCTCTTGATGCAGAAATACGTGCCAAGCAACTAGTTCAAGAAGAGCTACGAAAGGTTAAAGATGCAAACATATCGTTTGAGAGGTAATAAATAACTTGTTCAGCTTGAATATGTTACAGGCTGTTACTTTTAGTGTGCTACTCTTAACTACCTGTTAAAATAACAAACATTTAAATTTACCTGTTATGCCAGGAACATTTCATCATGATATAAAGTGTGAATATTGCAATGTTTAAATTAAGCTGTAAAAAAAATGAAGATATAGTGAAGTAAAGGTGAGAACTAATCGGCCTTAAATAACAGGGCAAGTATTGCCAGTGCTCAAAGAAAATGAGATTTCCAGTAAAACATTTTTTAAAAATCCTAATTTCTTGCTCTTCAAAGTTAAAGATTTCCATTTTACTGTTTCAGTAAATTGAAGGAATCTGAAAAAATAAATCGGGAGCTGTTTGAAGAGATAGAAGTCTTAAAGAAAAAACTGGAAGAAAAGTACAGAACGGATACAGGTAATTAAGTTTACGTTATAAATTCATTTTAGTATTAAACAGTGTGTTTTCTTTGAGTAAAATTAATGTGGTTTTGGGGGTTTTTTTATTTTTTTTCAGGTCTCAAACTTCCCGATTTCCAAGATTCAATATTTGAATATTTCAACACCTCACCCCTTCCACGTGATCTGACTTTTAGAGTGAGTTTTAAACTAATTGACTGCAAAAAAGTGGCTTGTGGGTTTTGAATTAGCTAAAGGTTATGCATGGACAATATTCAGTAAATTAGAATCTGTCAGAAGTACAATATGAAAGGCAAATTACCTAGCCTTAGAAGTCAAGTTATGGATCCTCTTCTCCAGTTATTGCCATATAGCTTAGCTTTAGTTATCTGTAACTTAGGGAAATATTCCCGAAGTTTTACTTCAGTGTAAACAAAGAAGGCAGAATGTGAAATGTTCTGGTTCAGCGGACAGCAGTCTTTTCAGGTTTCAGGCTGAGTGCTAGGACCTGGCTACTGCTGCCTCTTCTCTCCAAGACAGCATGGCGAGAGTTTCTGTGGCTAAAGCCCCACATCCACAGACCGTGGGTTGCCACCCCTGGTTTAGCTTGGAACTTTTGTTGACTCAATAATGCTTTTTTTTTTTGCTTAATTAGCTCTGACTTTTGAGACACAAGAAAGGACATCACAAACAGCTGATGATGAGGCAGTAGTAGAATGCTTTGCATTTCCCAAGAAAATGCATTCATAAGACATAAAAGGGGTTAAACCAGAGGTGGGCAAAATATGGCCTGTGGACTGGATCCAGCCCACCAAGTGAATGGATCTGGTTCACAGGTAGGTGGCAGCTCCAGCTCTGGAAGCTGCTGGCCACATTTGGGCAGCTGTGGATGTGGCCAGCAGCTGCCGGGTCCAGACCCAGCGCAGGGGTGGAGTGGGGGAGCGCCGAAGCTGCAGGCAGGTGGACTCCAGGAGATGGAGAGAGGAAAGTGGGTGCTAAAGCTGTGGGTGGGTTCAAGCTTCTGCACTGGTTGCAGCCCTTGGAAGGGAGGAATTGGGAGAGGGAGGTCACCAGTCACCAAAGCCCATTAAGTGGCCGACCAGCCCAAATAATTGCCCACCCCTGGTCTGGACTAATAGATAAGATCATTGACTCAGCTTTGAACTCTATGGGGATGTTATAATAGAAGATACTAGAAAGAGACACAGAGGACTCCCACTGTTGGTAGAATCCAGATGCAACGTTTTCAGAATTTGTTGCTGGCGTGTTGCTGTCCTGACACACCCACTGATCTTTGGAAAATCCAGTCGTACAAACTGGCTCAAATCAGGCATGTGTGTGTAAAGTTTTTGTACTTCCCCTAAGGAGGCAGCTGTTATACAACAGTGAATCACTTTTCCTTACTTTATGAACTCTTGATCCTTGAAGAGTTTCTGAATATGTTTTGTTAAACATTTTTAAACTATTCAGAATGAAAATCATAAGCACTCTAGAGATAAAACTGTAATATAAAATCCCCTTATTTTATGGAGTTGTAGTTACACAGTGGGGTTAAAACATGCTGTCTAGCTAAATTTTGTATTTAGGAGCCATAGAAATACCATGCTTTCTATATTATTTTCAAGTTGTTGCTGTTGCCAGGGCAAAAACACAGGGATGTTCTGTGATGTTTGTTACATGCAGTACTTTTAATAAGCAAGATTTAAAGCAAAACTTGACTTTACTTAGTAAATGAGATTTAAAAGCACTTTGTATGAATAAGGTTTGAATTGCTGTTTGACTTTATTAAAAAAGGAAATTGAATATATTTAAAACTCTAATACATAGAACACTAAATGCATATGATTAAACCACAATCCCATATCAGAAACTGCTGTAAATGTGTAGATGTGAAGGAAAGTTTAAGTATCACTTCCTAATGAATTGCAGCGTAGAATACTGAATATTCTAGTCAGCAGTTGTCGTTAACTTTTTTTTAAAGTACACTGACAATATACCTCCCTTTGATCTTCATTCCAATTTAGTTTATGCACATATCAGGTTGCCATGTAAACATTTTATTTAGTTAGCCTACTAATATACCTCCTGAAGTTGTCTTGTGGGTGATCAGTGATCATTTTTATCCCTCATGTTACAACAAAGGATTCTGTTTCTTCTTCATCTACATCCTCTCTGCTAGCCTTTTGGGAAGAAGTAAGTTCTTGTTGTGATAGCTTTGCCTCCTGCATTTGTGACCTGTATTTGTTAAATGACATCCTAAAACTAGTGGATTTTTTGTGCTTTAACTTTTCATACAAATTAACTCACTAAGTAGAACTAGTTTAGTTTTTTTTTTTAAACCTCTTTGCAGGCTGACCATTTTAAGGTATCTTGACAATGTTTGTACTAAAGATGAACCTTGTTTTATCATGTTAACATTGTATTTTACACAATGATATCTAACTTGCTATTTATTTTAAATTCATCAGTATGCCACTACCAATCAGAGTATACCAAAATATCTGTATGTACTCAGTGTGCTAACTGTATTGAGCTATCTTCTCCCTCAAGTGTGAAGAGTGACTGACTCATTACTCAGCAGTCTTCACTGCTAATTACATCATTTTTAAAAAGTTTTAATCACATGTTTGTTAATCACAATCTCCGTTATATCCTCAGAGTGCGATCCTGTAGTATCACTGTTTCCTACCCAGCTGCTTTTAGTTCTTTAATTCCAGAATTGTAGCATACTACCCCCTTGTGCTGATAATTAGTAGTAGCTAGAGTAAGTGTGAATTTAATAGGAAGCTTGTGATGGATATTAATCACCAACATTAGTGAAATATGATATAATTATCATTAGAATTCTCTCATCCTATTAAGCAGTGTAATAGAATGATATTTATAGAATTCTTGAAAGACTTCTTAGCTATCAAAAATAAATTGCATGAAGTCACTGAGAACCTTTCTTTTGGTGGTTCCTGTGCACCTTAGCATCCCTACAGCAGTAAATTATCTTAAGTATCCTATGGATTGTTTGCCAGAAGGCCTGGCTTCATCTTTTACCAGCATGCAGGAGATTAGAAACAACCTTCTAAAATATAATTGGTAGATCCAAGTATGTCATAAAGACGCTGTCAAGATTCTGGGAGGAGACTTGTTACAGCTACAGTCCCATTTACTATTTGGTAGATTTTTTTTTTAAATCCGATGCCTCCATAAATACAATGTTGTCAATACAGCATAGATCTATTTCTTTAAAAAACAAATGTTAAATAGTGTTTATAAAAACTAACCGAGCTCTAAATGTTGTCCTGAGCAAGCTGTTTTTGTCAGGTCAATAGCTTTAACTACGTTCAGATTGGTTTCACGTTGACCTAAGACCATTCCTTCAGACTTATACCATTAATCTAATTTGTTTGCTGTTATTTCTGCAGACGAGTTCTGTTAGTGAGCAAGAAGCACAAGGTCCCAAACCAGAAGTCTCACCATCTAGTTCTGTCATGACTGCTGAGCAGCAACAAGAAGTAAGGCAGCTGGTATTTTATTATCCAAAGTTAATTCACTTGAGAGTGTTTTATATACATGTGACATGTTATAAATATATTGCAGACATCATTCACCATGAAGAGGCTTACTCTAGCACTGAGTTTTTGCTTGTGTATAGACACCTGTCAGTGTTAAGTGCACCTGCTTTGCAAACAGTTGCAAGTGGAATCTTCCTCCAGTTCTGTATATGTTGATGTACTCCATTTTCATACCTGTTTTTTGTACTGCTGCTTGTTGTTAGCGTGCAGGCTTTCCTGTGAGTGCTTTCCAATATGATCTGCTCACAGTAAATTAGAAATGGCAATACAGTCTACAATCTACACACAATCTTTGCAAATTTAGGGAACTTTACCCACTCCAATTATAGAATAAATTTTTGAAGCTTAATTATCTTCAACTGCAGTTTCTTGTGATTCAGGAATCAATTCGGCTTCAGAGGATGCCTGCCGCTCCCTCCCCCACCATTCAGTCCATTTCTCTAGCTGTACCAAAGGTAGGGGGACCTTGTTCACCTTATTTCTGCAAACTAAAGGGGTTTTTTTTAACAAATAGCTGTGCAAATGTATGTTTGCTTTTGTCCTGTCTCGGTTTGTCACTTATTGTTGTGTTGTAGGTTTGTTTAATTAAATGTTCCTAAGTGCAAATTGTTCAGTCATTTTTAGTTTTTCCCAAAAGGGAGAGACAATTTCAGACAGGGTTGTTATAGCTTCGCAGGGCTTATTTGTACTCTGGTTCTGCTGCGATCTTGCGTACGCGTTGGAAGTAAAAGCACTTACAGTATTATTTGGAAGGAAAGTTCTGACTTGCAACACTTTTAACATGTTTCAGTTACTTAAAAGAAGCCTAGATTTATGAAGTAGCTTTGGTTTATCTTGAATTTATCTTTCAGCCTAAAGCTCACCAACTCAACATCAAGTCCTTCACAAGCCCTACTCAGTGCAGTCACTGCACGTCTCTTATGGTGGGATTAGTTCGACAAGGCTATGCCTGTGACGGTGAGTCAGTGTAACAATTCTGAATGTTCAGTAACTTAGCCAAATAAAACAATTTGTTCTACAGCCACAAGTTACGCACTGGAAAAACAACTGTTGCATCTTTTTCTTCCTACCTTCTTGCATCTGCAGATTTGAATCAGTTGAGGAATGAAATTCTCAAGTTACTTAAATTTATTAATTCCTTCTTCCTGCACCATCTTTTTACTAACACTATCGCTAGAGCAGGCTTCCTATAAAATGAAGAAATAAATGCTGCGGAAGTTGTTGCCATAATTGAAATTTAACAGTTTCCACTGTCCTCATCTTAATCTATAAATTGGGAAGCATATGTGCCTCTCTGTTTTTACTCACAAGTCATGAATGTAATCAAATTCTGTCAATTTTTCTAGCTTGGTATCTTCAAAATCCATTCTTCCCCCTCTGTTATTTTGTAGTATTCTAATCTGTAGTGGAAGTGTTGCTGTGAAAATATTTGTCTGTGCCTTAAATATTCTTTCACCTTGATTACTGTCACTGCTCTCTGACGTAACATGTCCAAACAAATCTGTCCCAAAAAAACACTGCAAAAGTTATCTTCCAGTGTTGCTATGCCCAACTCAGTTCACTCCTTAGTCTCTCCATTGGTAACTTTTTGCATTGTATTCAGCCTCCTTGTTCTTGCCTTCAGGGCCATTTGCAGATGATTGATTGTCAACTCCCGTCCCCCTTCAGCTCTACCAGAAGCACCTGCTGCTCTAACAGCACTCGCTTTGAGGCACCCTTTTATCTCCTGCTGCCTGTAGTTGCTTTTGTTCCATACCACTCTTTCATCACTCTTGGGCTCTAGTGTATCTGAAAATCTCACTTCCCTATCCCCACAACAAAGCATTCCACCGTTGCTCTCCCCATTGTCACTTCCATGCCAGGTCGTAATACTTAAGCTAATTGATATCAGGTTTGTTTTGCAATAGGAGGTTTAAGAGATGTTTCCATAATCTTTCCCCTTGTTCATTTTCCAGGGACTTGTTGTCTTAGCTCCTTCTCCCTCCCACTTGCCCCCCATCCCCACAACTGTACACCCCACATGCATTTTAGATGGTGATGACTTTACAGTATAAAAGACTTAGTAATTTCTCATTTATGGACCTTGTCTTGCTGTGTGCATGTTAAAGCACAATGTTTGCATAATTATACAAAGTTTGTGAAAGGTGTTTTATAGATAACAGGTCTTTTTCCTTCTAAGTGTTGCAATTGAAATAGACAGCACACACAGAAGTTTGAGGAAAGTATCCATCAATTAGTTGTGTAGATGTTTGCCCCCTCTTTTTTTTTTTAAATTCTTGCCTACATGTGTGCCTTTTTATAGCACAATAATATTAACTCTCTTCTATTAACCTCTTTTATTTTATGGCAAAGTTTGTTTTCTGTTATATTAATGTAACTTCTCTTTTTCTGTAAAATCTAATTTCCCTTTTTATTTTAACTCTCATTTTTTCATATTTACTCATTAAATTAACACTGTCCAGTATTAACTTACTCTAACCATCCCCCTGTTCTTCCATCTTATTTCCTATCTTTCTGCCCAGTGTCCATCTTTACCCCCAACTCTTCATTACCTCCTTCATCTTCCACCTGAATTAGAAATTGGTGTTGATGACATTAGGTGGGGCTTCCCAAATCATATTCCTCCAGAAGAAGGCTGGGTTACCTCAAGAGGAGTGGTGACAGGGCTCCTGCCCTACCTGACACAGGTGTATAAAAGAAAGTGGTGTTTAAGAGTCTGTCATGACAAATGGATCATAAGCATGCTCGTCTAACATAATGTGCTGCTGTCATGTATACTGCTGAGCTATTTCAATCTAATGAATTGGTTTCTTTCTTATAAGAGTAGAAAATATTCATCACCTGTTAAGATTAATCAATCTTCACAAGACTTCCATCCTGGATTTTCTCTTTTGCACCCAGTGTGTTCCTTCGCATGCCATGTTTCTTGCAAGGACAGCGCACCTCAAGTCTGTCCTATACCCCCTGAGCAAGCCAAAAGGCCTCTTGGAGTAGATGTTCAAAGAGGGATAGGAACTGCCTATAAGGGTTATGTCAAGGTAAGAATCTTTGACTTCGGACCTGAAGAGGGTTTTTTTTTCTTCCCAATATAATTACGAACTTAATACAAAAGCAAGCCATATTTGCAGTTTGCTGCTAGAAACCCTAACTTTGCTTTACTGTATCCCCAAGTAATGCTGAAGCTCTGGGGCTTGGCACAATTCACACTTATACTTTTGTTACGGATAAAGGAGCAATCTTACTTGAGGACTAGCATGGGGCAGCTATAATCGTCACAAAAATGAGACGGAGAACACTTGTGCAGGAAAAAATCTGTGCTATAATATAGTGGAATTTTGTTATTATGTGCCATTTGTGGAATCTCTTTAAATACACAATCTGATTTTGCCTTACAAAATGCTGAATTGCAGAACTGGCTTAAAAGCAGAAAACAGGGAGCTTCATGAAGAAATATTCAGCTGTTCTTCAACTTTTTCCCCTCCTATTTGGAAATATAATTGAAATTGGGTGGTCAGACTCCGTTGAATTAAAGAAGCATGAAGTCTGCTTTGTGTCCTCACTTCCTATGTCTGACCAGTCAAGTTTCCACATAACAAGCAAACAACTATTTACATGCAGGTTCCAAAGCCTACTGGAGTTAAGAAAGGGTGGCAGAGGGCCTATGCAGTTGTGTGCGACTGCAAACTCTTTCTGTATGATGTGCCTGAAGGAAAATCCACCCAGCCTGGAGTTGTTGCAAGTCAAGTCTTGGATCTCAGGTTTGTGTTGTTTTACTAGCTACAGTGTAAAACCTCTGTTATTTTTTTTCTTAAGTAAAAAATTTCTCTAATGGTAAATTAAAGGCTCCTGTGTTTTAAGGGCTCTGTTCTGAGATGATCTATGCCTTCCAAAGCCAGGCTTCAGTTTAGATTGAGCAGAAAGAAGGGGTTGCAGCACTGCATTTTCATGTAAACAACAACATTAATGCATGTCATCTGAGAATTTTATGTGCATCTTGGGCAGACAAGTCACAGTGAAGTAGAGCACAGGGAAAGAGCTACTCTGAACAGGCCAATTTCAAAAAATTTTGGACAGGGCCAGGGGGGAGAGTAAAGGAAGACGGGTTCCAAAAAGCACTGAACTTACCAATTTACAGTACATATGATCCCAGCACCCACTGACTTTGTTCCCATGGAACCGGTTTTAGCCTAAGAAACTTTTTTCCTCAGTAAGTCTTTTTCTTTCAATTTTTTACCTTCTAAACTAAAATGTGAATTTATTGTGATTACTGTGACCATGGCAAGAGACAATGCCCCATCTTGTAAGGTTACAGCACCTTGGTCTTTGGTTAGCATAGAATCTGTTTATACAAATACCTTGATTTATGATGCCTTCCAAACAGACTCATGCCAAGGGGCAGCATACTGCTGTTCTCTTCTCCCAGTAATTGTCAGAGGGTTGAGCCTACTTGGCATCTGAAG